GCAGTTGTTGATGGAGGAGCTTGAAGTGAACCAGCTGTTAGTCTCACACATTCTGGTTTACACATCTCATCCAGAACTCCATCACATCTCCAGGAAAATAACTATTTTGTCAAAAACAACTGCCGTACAGACTAGAGCTGCTGCGGTTAGCTGGTAAAATGAATGATGCTGAAAAATTCACTGTGACAAGTATCATGTCAGATTATTTATGACACACGAAGAGATTATTGACTCATTTCATTGCACATTTGCAATGACAATAAAGAAATTCTACTCTGTTGATTTTCACTCCAGTCATTGGTCAGCTGCCGTCAGATCTGATGTGGTTCAGTATAAAGACAGAAGGCTTCAAATGATCACAGAACAAAGAGTGGGTTTGCACACAGCAGACCGCAGCATGTTTTATCTGTCCTGCTTTCTGTGCTCACATATACTCTACTTTAATATGAATTCCTAATAAAGCTGTTCTCATTTACATATTTTTCTCTTTTGAGAGTGAAACAGTGGCTGATGTGTAGCTCATTAGGAAGACTTGTTAATCACTTTTAAACTGCTGCTGCTCCACACCACTAAAATCCAGATTTGTAAACCCCAATACCGCTGGACAAAGTCACTATAAACATGATGAAGGCTGTGTTGTGAATTCAGCTGTATTTAATTTATAGCCACCACCAAAGTCAGAACAGTTGCACAGTAAGGAGAAAACCGTGCCCACCGTGTCCATGTTGCACTTTGTTAAGAGCTTCAATAGAAACGTATATATTTCTTCTGGAGTTGCACCACTGACGTAAATAATAAGCCATCGTTTCCGCTTTGCAGTTTTGCACTTTAATATGTAAACATCTGTGCTGCACAATACACTCATGTACAGTTTGTCAAAATAAAATGAACCTAAATGAAAAGGTCATTTTGTGTTTTTGGAGGAAAAACTAATTGTTCAGGTTAATCAGCTAATTTGTAAACTAGTTGACAGATTATTCAAAAGCGTGAATTAACTTTCTAAACAACAATTTCCAAGAAAATTTAAGAATCAGCTTTGTGAAATATCCCACCTCCAAGTTGCTCTTTCAAACCTCTGGTACAGGTGAGCTTATTTTTTAAAAAAGAGGATTGAAGTGATCTTAGACAAACACCTGTCAGTGTTTTTACAACAGCTAGTATTTAGAGGGAGCAACTAAGTGCTTTTACTAAAGTACAATACTTAAGCACATCTTTGAGGAGCTTGTACTTTCCTTGAGTATTCCCATTTCAGCTACTTTATTCCTTTCTTCTACTAACTGCATGTGATAACTGTAGTTGCTTTGCAGTTAGTTTAATGATACCAAATATCATCAGAAAAATTCCAATACAATATTATTAATCTAGGTTAAGATTATTGATCCCTGAGGAGAAATTTAGAAGCATCAGATATATAGCAGTACCATCAGCCTGCTGCTCACAGCCAGACTCTGGTCAGCAGCTTCGAAAGCATAGATGTGCATCTGTGCAGTATTTTGACTGTTCGTTAAAAATAGTTTGTCTGCAAAGCTGTCGTTCCAGGAATGATTGATCCCTCCGAGGCAGCAGACTAAATTCAGCCTGGACCACAGTCCTTCTTTTCTTTTCTTTCAGGCTCTTCAGCTATGAATAATCTGCAGTGTAACGCAGTACGCTTGGCCCCTTTCCTGATTCCCTGCTGGCCAGAATTCACTATAACGTTCTGTACCTGAATACGCTTATGTCATAAGCCACGGCAACGTTGTGCACCACAGTCAACTGATGCGCCTCCTACAGATAACTTTACTGTAGCGTCTACATCATGTTGCTGCTGCTTTTGTTTTGGATGCAGGAATGAGGGGGACACTCGAAACCCTTAGAACTGTCGTGAAAATTCCCTGGTGAAAAATGTCTACATGGTGGAAGACACATCGGCTGAGTGTTTCCACCGTGAAGCTGCGGTATATTGATGAAAGTTTCAACAGCACAGATTCAGACCTCCAGGGATTCATTTGAACTTAAGGAACAAATCCTGTCAACTTGCAGGGTGGAGCTTTCTCATTAATAATCATCTTCTGAATCGGTTTCTGGGTTGAACTTATATGGCTGCGTCACATAAATAGTACAACTTGCCACTGTGTAGTGTAGAGCAGTTTTACATAGTTTGAGAAGAGTCAAAGTTGAGCTGGTGTGCCCGAGCTGCAGCGAGGGGGAGAGATGGTTGGAGACAGTGGCAGGGACTTCATAGATCAGCACATTCTACAGGAATCAACAGTGTACAGGTACATGTAAGACATGTTAGAGCAAGATGGGATGATTTTCAGGGAGAACACTTGTAAATATGTAGTTTACATGCACAGAGGTGAGTTTCTGGAGCTTTATTCAATCACTGAAGAGGGACTTTGAATATTATTTAACTGTCTCTTTGTATTTTGAAACTGAACACAACAGGCCTGCTTCTTTATTTTGTCTGAGTAATTAAGGATTAGCTGATTTATTCATGTGTTGTTTTTTTCTGTTTTCTCGTACTTTCTACACAATAAGTGTCACATGTATTAATAATGGAAATCACTGTGCGTTAACTCTTCAAAGCACAAAAACTGACAGGATTTGTTAAAAATACAACTTAAAGACAAAAAAATGAAGTATTCAGATGTTAAAACCAGATTTTGTTTGTCTTCATTTATGATATTTGACACTGAATTTTAGTCAGAAAGCACATTTGTGACAAGTCAGATGATGCATAAGTGGGTTGTTATGAGAAATGGTTAATAAATAAATTTGATTAGAGACAAAATTGTGATATAATCTTATTCAACAAAAAATGTGCTGATATTTTTAGTATGTTTTAATTGAATTTGTGTCTCGTTACTGTTATACTTTGTGGCGTGAGCTGTGGCATTGATCAGATGTGTACACTGTTCAGTTTGTGGTATCTAAACTTATATCCATCCATTCATTCTCTACATACCGCTTTATCCTCCTCACGGGGGGCTGGAGCTTATCCCAGCCGACTCAGGGAGAAGGCAGGAGACACCCTGGACAGGTCGTCTAAACTTTCATAAGAAAGACAATGTTTTAAAAATGAATCACGTTATTTAGTTCACCCTCATTCTGGACACATTTCCACAGCTTTTATTCTAAAATTCGGAACTTTTCGTCTTGAAGACTCCAAAATACAAAATGTTAAATTATCAGCTGAGTCATATATATATTTTTTTTAAATTTACTGCTCAAAGCCTCATAGAGAAAACTCATGTTTAAAATGATTCATCACCATTATAATACGTTTTTGGCAAGTTCTGTTACCATGGCGACCCATTCCTTACAGCTTCATTTCATCCTCAGTCAGGCGCTGATTCATTAATCCTTTAATTCCTTTGTTTGTAATCAAACTGTTTGTTTACAATCCAGGGAGTCCGTCTGTCTGCACTGGTGAACTCCCGAATGCTGGTTTAGTTTTATCAAATGTGAAAAGCTGCAGAATTTATCCAACAGCTGTAACTCCTCTGACCATCAGCTGTCTGGTTTATGTTGAAGTGACTGTTTTTCTTTGTCATTTATCACTGCAGGCTAAAATCTACTTTTCTTTTCCTGGAGAGCTGCTGATGAGGATGCTGAAGATGCTCATCCTTCCTCTCATCACGTCCAGGTAGGTTTATGTGACAAAACACACCAGGAGGAGAAAATAATGAGATTATTAAAACAATACAGGCAGGAAAACATATTTTTTGGTTCAGGTTCTGTGGTGATCCAAAAGCATCTTAAACAATAGTTCCTGTTTTTTTTTTTAGCCTGCTGCATTTCCAATTAACGCGTCAGTTGCGGCTCTGTGAGTCATGCTAAATTTGCACTCTTGACCTTCATGTGATTAAACGGGAATAAATACAGCGACTCAGACAGACGGACTGAGGGAAGGGCGGAGTCAGGGAACATGCACTGTCGTAACGTCTAGTTAGTTCCCAAAAAAACAAACAATAGTAGCAATAAAGACAGATACAGAACGATAGTTAGTCAGAAAAGTAGTAATAAAAATAATTTTAAAAGATAAATAAAAGGAAACATTTTTTAAAATGTAGTAAAATGAAAGCTTTTAAATTTCAAAAGAATAAAAAGAAGAACACTTTTAAAAAAATATGATTAAAAGAAAATATTTTTAAAATATAATATTAATAATAATAAAAATGCATGTTTGACAGTGAATGTGTAATAGACAAATGACGATGGTAATTATAAATCCTATGAAATGCCAAATATATTGTGTGTGTGTGTGTAATTAAAGAATGAAAGTAAACTAATAAGGTGTGAAGAAGTAAACTCCTAGAGATACGTACTTAAAGTACCAAATGTAGTGACGTAAAAAGTATTATATTTGCATCAGCACTGCAAGTAAGTGTCAGAAAATGGAAATACTTAAGTACAAGTAACTTGAAGCTATACTAGAGTACTGTACTTGAATAAATATAGTTTCTTCTACTGAAAGGCAGTTATGGAGATCCTAAACATAACCGTATCTATCACGTACATCATTTTAGCTGAATTGTGCATATCTCAAAACGACAAAAGTGACATAATTTGTCTGGGAACAGTGACGCTGTGAACATCTGCAGCATGTGTCCACTCCACATGTTAAATGTGGAAACATCTGGCCACACGTTCATTTGCTCACCGCAGATAACCAAGAACTTAACATACAAGGTTCCTCTTTGCAGAAAAAAAGTACAGGATACATTATGTTATCTGTTGCCACATTAAGAAAGTGACACTTCCATTTACAGTTTTATCGTGTATCATGAGTCCAGATTTGATCCTTTTTACTTTCAAAGAGTGTCAGAACATGAGGAGGAGGTTGGATCTGGTATTAATGTGAGGGGTGCAGACTATTTTTCTACTGATGAATCTATCGCCTACTGTATCGATTAGTGATTAATCTATATTATTCCTTTTGTTCCAAAAAATGAAAAAGGCCATTTCAACATTTCTCTGAGTGCTCACAGGTGTTACCAACACTGCTATCAAAAGTGGCTCCACATCCTATAGATGATCAACTATCTGCATGTTTACAATTTTTTTTTTTTTTTTTTACAAACTTTACATTTTTCAAACTACTCTGCACATCACCTCCAGCAAGTTATTTCACCATGCTAAATGTATCTTCCAGCAAGTTGCTGACGGCTTGCTCCTCTGTATACTGCATTTATGTTATTGATCCAGTATGTTTAATTATCCTCAGTCTCTCTTGTTGTCTTTTTGGTCAAAGCTGAATCACCAATAGTTTCTCAGTTAAATGTTTCTTTTTTTTCCAGAACTGGGGCAACCTTTGTTTTGGAGACTAGTTTAATAAAACATTAAGAATAAATGATTTGGATTAAATCTAATACTGTCTAACTTAGACTTTGTATATTTTCCTGGTGGAGTGATGCATCACAGATGAGTATTTCAGTGTTAAAAACTAGATCATTCTTTCTGGTTTTACAGTTTCTAGCTGATAAACGGTGGCATTTTGTCTGTTTTCTTAACATGCTGTTCAAATCCATTAGCTGGTTTTGGTGGTTTAGAAGGTTGAATGATGCATATATTTGGATTCATTTATTCATTCTATTCATGGTACCTGTCAACTCCTTCTCCTGGTTTTCAAAACTTTGCCAGACATCAATTTCTGTTTTACTTTTAAATACTTATGTCAGTTGTCTAAAGCACAAACACAGCTGCATACTGAATGAACGTAAACCTAAACCAACATAGGACGGAGTCTTTGAGCTGCCATTGTCATATTTCAGAACACAACTATTTTCAAATACCCCTCAAATCCCACGGTTATCACAAACACACACAAAATCTTTGTTACAGGTTTTCCATACAGCTCAGTCAGATTCAGCACTTATAGAGTCAAGCTGACAGTCTTTATGCTAAGCTAGGCTAATTTGTTTTAATAACGGACAGTCTTCCTCTCTTCCTCCTCGTCGTGCAGTTTAATGTCGGGCTTGTCGTCGATGGAGTCGAAGGCGTGCTGCCGGATGGGCGTCCTCACCGTCACCTACTACCTGTGGACCACCTTCATCGCCGTAGTCGTCGGCATCGTGCTCGTCATCATCATCAAGCCCGGCGTGGGGACGGAGATGGAAAGCAACCGGCTGGGCGGTGGGCCTGTCATGACCTCAGCCGACGCCCTGCTCGACCTCATCAGGTGAGAGAGGTGGAAGGTCAGCTGGATGGTGTGTGTTGTTGTGTATCTGTGTGCACATATTTCAAACTGTAAATGAGGAGATAAAACATGGTGCTTAATGCTGACTGTAAGAAAAGGAAGACCTGGGAATGAGAAGCAGAGTAAAATGTTTTAATGATCATAACTAATAGTTTCCTTAGTGGCAGCTACTAGCTTGGTTTTGTTATCCAACTACAACACAACACAGATATCAGAAAGAGAACTGTAGACCTCCACAAGTCTGGTTCATCCTTGGGTACAATTTCTAGATGCCTGAAGGTTCCACGTTCATCTGTTCAAACAATTCTACACAAGTATAAACACCATCCAGCCCCCCGCAACCCTAGTGAGGATTAAGCAGTGTATAGATAATGGATGGATGGATCTATAAACACCATGGGAATGTCCAGCCATCATACTGCTCAGGAAGGAGACGGGTTCTGTGTCCCAGAGATGAAGTATTTTGGTGTAAATGTGCGTATCAACCCCAGAACAAAAGACCTTGTGAAGATGCTGCTGAAGCTGGTGAGAGAGTCATTATCCACAGTGAAACCAGTCCTGTACCGACATGAGCTGAAAGGATACTCAGAGAGGAAGAAGACATTACTCCACAAGAAACATAAAAATGTCAGATTACAGTTTGTAAATGCACACAGGGACAAAGACCTTCATTTGTGGAGACATGTCCTGTGGTCTGATGAAACTAAAACTGAACTGTTTGGCCTTAATGACCATCGTTACATTTGGAGGAAAAAGGGGGAAGCTTGAAGCCTGAGAACACCATCCTGACTGTGAAGCACGGGGGTGGCAGCATCATGTTGTGGAGGTGTTCTGCTGCAGGAGGGACTGGTGCACTTCACTAAATAGATGGCATCATGAGGAAAGAACATTATGTGGAAATATTGAAGCAACATCCCAAGACATCAGCCAGGAAGTTAAAGCTTTAAATGGGTCTTCAAATGGATTTGCTCAAAAATTGTGAATAAAGTAGACTTTCAAAAAATTAGGAAAAATATATTTCTAATACACAATAATAGGATCTATTTGATCAATTTTATTGTGAGAATAATATCTGAATAACATTACCAAATTCTTAGAAAGCTTTCATATAGAATGTGGATGTGAAATGTAGAAATGAGTCAGAGGTAGAGTCCACCAAACAAAACATAGAAAACACACCAACACACACTCTCACACATCAATCCAATTAGAGAGCAGGACTGATCGGTGTATTTTTAGTAATCCTGCGAGGATAAGTGATAGATTAACCGAGTGAGCGGCGGTGCGATGCAATGATCTCTGCTGCGGCACGTTGGCAGACCGAGCTCTCGTGCCTCCATCAGAGGCCACGCCCACTTTGGAAGAAGCCGCACGAGCAGGTTGACAAATCGTCATCCCATTGACTTCTGACCTGTGCTGAAGGTTAACTGATCTGCACTGTTTACCTGCTGAGTGGAGGAGCAGAAGGGATGGAGGTGTAGTCAGACACCAGACAGAAAGATTCCTGAGTTTAGGAGTCATTAATTATGTTGATTGTTTGTTTCCCTAAAGCCCATGATTGTAAACAACCCAAAGCTTTCAGTTTTCTATTATAGAGGAGAAGCTCAAATCACGGAATTTAGTCATTAAAAAAACAAAAAAAAACAAAGCAAATAATCAGTTATATAAATAGTTGGTGATTAATTTAACATTTAACAACTAATTATTTAATCATGGCAGCTTTGCAGTGGATGCTTCTGATGTTCTTTAACATCAGCTGATTTTTCTCAAGCTAGTAGGTTTGGTCATGTCCGTGCATCACATTTTTTAAGTCATTTTTTAGGATGTCGTTGCCACATGATTGCCAGATTAGATATCTGCAATAACTAGCAGTTTGCAAGTCTTTATGAGGGGTCCAACCAGTTCCATTATTACAGTATTAGTGTCATAGATTTCCACTGTTTTACCAGGCTGCTGTTGAGCTGCCTTTCCACAGCTGCAGGCCACAGTGCTAACAGTGATCTGAAGTTGTTGTGAAGATGTTTTTTCAGAGCTCGCTCCCAGATCTCTCACATTGCAGCAATAAGACTTTAAGTGGGGACCTAACAGAACTTGTCTGTTCCTGCAAGTACTTGTGTATCTGGAAAAAAAACCCACATCAGGAGGGTAGTCTGGTTTATATTATTTCACATGGCCTGACTAATTGAGCGGTTAACAAAATGCTTGTGGAGACAATGTTCTTCAGTGTTTTAGACTATAGAGATAGTATTTATATGCATGCTGCTGCCTCGATTCTTGGCCCTCATTAGGCCTGAGGTGACAGCAGCACTGGTATATTTTTATTTACAAACCCGTTCTGGCTAAGAACTCACTTCTTACGTGTCGTCCTCTATCACTTACCAACAGCTGTTATAATTCTCACTCATCTAAATGGCTGCTCTGCAGGATGCCCAGGATTTGCTCTGGACTTAGTAAAGTGGCCTTCTCCCATTTTGACCTGTTTTTTCCTTACTATTGGAATAACTTTTAGAACACATTATAGCTTCACGGGAGAGATCGGAGCGTTCATCAAAGCTGTGTACTTTAAGAGTGCAGTTGTTGTTTCTAAACTGGATTTTCTTTTAGTCTCGTGGTTGTTCTAATGCTTTACTTTTGTCCCATGACTTTTTGACTACTTTAACAACTTTGAAGAAATACTATAAAAACAATAATAATCAGCTGTCTCCTTCTGCTCCACAGAAACATGGTTCCCTCCAACCTGATCGAAGCCACGTTTCAGCAGGTAAGACAGCAGTCCTTTACACTTTATCCTATCTTTATCGCTCTGTGCTTTGCTGCATCTTACAAACTTGACTCTCTCTCTTCAGTACAAAACCGACCTGATTCCCATCCTCAAAGTCCCGGCCAGAACCATACAGCCCAACTTCGTCTATGTTGTCCCAGATGACAGCGACCTCAAAGGGCAGACGGTGTACCTGGAGCTGACTCCACCCCCAGAGGTCTTGTACAAGACCAGTCCTGGCAGCAGCCAGCAGATGAACGTACTCGGCATTGTCATCTTCTCTGCTACCATGGGTGAGACATCTGAAAAGGACAATGTAGATATGTTCAAATGGGGAGAAATAGAGGTATCTTGAATTGAATGATGACTACTTAGAGCTAAAGTGTTATTAGAAACTGGAATGAGAACTTTAGCTGCTGACAGCCACAGTGTGAACTGTAGATATCTGTAATGAGAAGCAGAAATAGTCAAAAGTGATGTCATTTGTACAGGAAGAAGCACAATTTGAAGATATGAAATGTTCTTTTTGATCAGGAAGAAACACATTTTTGGTACCTGCCATACATATCTAGTCTAGCTAGTGAGTGTTCTGAATTCAATTCTGACAAGTCAGAATCAGAAATCATTTCAGGAAGCCAGTGTAAACATATCATGAATGATGAGTCTCTACCTGGAGGTGACAGTGAGGGAGTCACATCAACATTCAAAGCGATTCAGCCCACAAATGTGAATGTGAATTTTGCATGTATGTGCTGCAGGTCTGTTACTGGGCAGGATGGGAGAACGAGGAGCTCCGCTGGTCAACGTCTGTCAGTGTATCAACGAGTGTGTGATGAAGATCATCAACGCTGCTGTGTGGTGAGATGAAAGCTCAGCATATGAAGTTGTAGACGAATGTCCTGTTGATTAGTTTAAACTGGAGCCGCAGTGGCTCTGGATCAGCTGGTGTGATAATGGTCAGTAAGTGTTCACTCAGTGTGGTCAGCCTCTGACACCCAGCTAGGATTCTGTTGATCTGACCCGATGACCCATCAGATGGTGAAAACGTGCCGATGGTAATGCCATTGTGTCCTCCCTCTGCAGAGCTCTGTCCCTCTGCAGCTTGAGCACCTGAGCTGATTAAAAGTAGCAGGAACAGGAGCTTAATGGCCTGTACGCTTACAGATGCAGCACTGAGTGTCGGTGTTGTAAAATTTATTTTGAAAAACTGAAAACGTCGAGCAGTTTCTAATTGTCCATAAATGTTCAGTCAAAATGCTGCACTGTGCCAGCAGGTCTGTCTGCGTGTGTCGACGGGCGGCCCGATCATATAAATAAAACCCTTTGGATAAATCTTGAGTTGGAATTTATTTCACTCCTTTTAAGGTAGTTTTTTTGTCTCACATCAGTCTGAGCTGCTGTGTTGAGACGAGAGGTTTCTCCGTGCAGCCTAACAGCAGCTACTGATGCATGTGAGGCGTTTAGGGAACATCTGTAAATTATCTCTGCATGCACATCTGTCATGCTGCCCCACCCATCACCACAAGTAAATTACCAGCTTGTAGGAAGCACTGATATATGAGATCAGCCAACATTAGGCATTTATAGCACACAGTGCAGCCAAAGCATGGCTGGGAACAGAGCTTTCATTGTCAGAGATCAGACGATCATCTTTATTAAAGCACGCTATCTCCAAGCAGTCGCCTTCGTCTCAGTGTGAGGCAGCGACAAACTGAAGCAGTGATTAGTCAGAAATGTTGATGTTTAACTCTGCTTGTACTATAGCCAAAGAAGAACTATGACTAACTCATGGTCCCAGACTGATCTACATCTTTCTTCCTGCTACAGTCACTTACATAATTTGTCCAAACATTAGTGTTTACTTTCAGTACAAAATCTAATAAAAGTGCGACATGTTCAGAGTGAACTGCATTACAGGCAGCTGATAAGTTTCAGCTTTAGAGCAGCACAAAGTAACAAAGTAGGAAAGAAGTGCCTGCATTAGGGAAACCTCACCAACTACGGGTTCAGCATCACACCCCCTCCCCTGTTTGTCTCCACTTGAATGCATCATGTTGACGCTGTCTGCTCTGTCCTCTCAGGTATTTCCCATTTGGCATCATATTCCTGGTGGCGGGGAAGATCCTGGACATGCAGGACCCGAGCACGCTGGGAAAGAAGCTGGGCTGGTACGGCATCACTGTGCTCGCCGGCCTCTTCGTCCACGGACTCGTCCTCCTCCCTCTCTTCTACTTCATCCTCACCAGAAAGAACCCATTCAGCTACATCCGTGGGCTGCTGCAGGCCATGGTGATCGCCCTGGCCACCTCGTCCAGGTGAGTCCTGCTTATATCTGCTGCTGTGCGTCGGTTAAAGCATAGGCGTAGCTTTCAGTGGGGGGACATGGTGGATACTCCAGTTCAATATTTAATACGTTATATTATATTTAGACAGCAGTACTTGTCCATCTCCTGAATAAAAGCGTGACAAAACCAGGGGAATATTTGATGAACAGCTATATGTGTGTTGACTTTGCAGAAGTAATATTAAATAGGAAAAGTTGATCAGGGGAATACAGGAGAGAGAACAGAACAGAATCCCAGAAACCTTACTATTTCGTTATACATTCAATTGTTTGTGGTTTCCTTTACATAAATAGACAATTTCCAGATACACTGATGCAGAAAAGGAACAAACTGGTCCATTAAAATGTCCCAGAATGAGGAAGTGTTTTATGTTTCAATTGCAGACGCCTCAGTTAATGTGTATCCTCCCACTGTTCAACCAAAACCCATGCCTCAGGGTTAAAGGTTTATCTGAATGTCGTCTCTCCTCTCTCAGCTCAGCCACACTACCCATCACCATGAAGTGTTTGTTGGAGAACTGCCATGTGGATCGGCAGATCGCTCGCTTCGTCCTCCCGGTAGGAGCCACCATCAACATGGATGGCACGGCGCTGTACGAGGCTGTGGCGGCCATCTTTATTGCTCAGGTCAATGACTACGAGCTGGACTTTGGCCAGTTAGTTACCATCAGGTAAACAAACACAGAGAGACTTTTATTTTGTTGGTAGATCGAAGGATCTGCCTTTGTGACACTAGATTCCCAAACATATGCAACAAGCCGACTCATCTGGCTCAGTTCTGATCTCTGACAGGCTGTTGTCCTCTCATCTGTCCGTCTCACAGCATCACAGCCACAGCTGCCAGTATCGGTGCAGCCGGGATCCCTCAGGCCGGTCTGGTTACCATGGTGATTGTACTCACATCAGTGGGCCTGCCTCCAGACGACATCACACTTATCGTGGCCATCGACTGGATCCTGTAAGTCAAAGTACCGATTATGAAGAAGAGTTACTGTTTCTGTTATTTGCTCACTGGTGGTATTTCCTCTGTCTCTGCAGCGACCGGTTTCGGACCATGATCAACGTCCTGGGTGATGCCCTGGCAGCAGGAATCATTGCCCACCTCTGTCGGAAAGACTTCCCTCTTAGTGGAGTAGGAAAGGTAAAAAAAAGAACAAGAACACCTGACAGTGACCTTAGATCCATCAGTATAGAGCCCAACTCCAGTGCCCAATATTGAAGGATGAAGTGTCAGAGATGAAACAATGACTTATTTCACTTACTGTTACTGTCAACCATCCTGACACAGTTGGAATTTAAAAAAAAAAAAAGTTCAAACTATTTTGTAGTCACAATTTGAGTTTCTAATTCTAGTCTGCTGTGCCACAGTTTTAAACAGTTTTAGAGACACATTGATATCTAAGACATCATCGCATGTAGCTTCAAATTGGAAACATGAAGCTGGGAGCTGCTTCTTCATTCATGCCTGTAAACTCAGATTAGATTACAACAGATTAGAGCCCCGCCCCCTCAACTGGGCTCATCACTGCCTGTCACCGGGCAGAAGAGTACCATTAATAGAGAGACAGTCCTGAACAACAACGTGTTTACAGACAGTGAACTAACCACAGACGCTCCACTGTTCTGCTGTTATCGCAAACATCATGCNGAAGTTCTCCAGATAGCCTGAGCTCTGTCCTCCCACTGAGCTCGAAACGCCTCAGAAATAAGTGTAGACACGGTGCTGCAGTCCAACCTGTAACCAGCTGCTACACCCTGTAAAAAGTGCAAAGTCACAGGCCTTCAGAAACACCCCCAGAGCTCCGTGTGTTTCTCTTTGTTCGATGTGAACATCTGCATATCAGACCAACATGCGCCTTTGCTAGTATGAATAGCACCGTGTGCTTGTCTGCTTTCAGTCCTCATCAGTCACACGGAAACCATGAACTGGTCTTAAGCACTCAAGGAATCTCGGTGGAAAAGTAGCTTATGTGTAGCGAGACAGCTACTTATCATTGTCATCTAGCTGGGCTGTGTGCACACATGTGGGAAGTTCATGACTCCATCTTGCACTTTTATGATGCTATATTGCTGATAAATCTGCCCAAACAGAAACATAATCACCTGCCAAAGTACTCAAACCATCTTTGTGGTAGTTCTCCTGCAGTAGAGGTTTGCAGGACTGTGTCATAAAGCTGCAGGTGGAGACTGGATTGAAGATGTTGTACTGATCCAACCTATGAACACATCTGTGACTTGACAAACAGGTTAATTAACATCAGTTCCTAAATGTGACAATACAAGATGTAATACAGTCCATCTAAACCAGGGGTGTCGAACTGCGGTCCTCGAGGGCCGCAATCCTGCATGTTTTAGATGTTTCTCTCTTCCAACACACCTGATTCAAATAATCAGCTCATCATCAAGCTCTGCAGAAGTCTGATAATGATCCTGATCATTTGAATCAGGTTTGTTGGAAGAAGGACACATCTAAAACATGCAGGATTGCGGCCCTCGAGGACCGGATGTCGACACCCCTGATCTAAACCTTTTGGCTGTTGCAGTTTAGGGGAACTGTAAGTGTTTCTGACCCTGATCCGTGTCCATGAAGTTAAATCTTAATGAGAGACACTAAACCTGCAGGATTCTCTGACCTCTGTCTTCACCTGGAGTGAAGCAGAAACAACAACAGGCCGGTTCCCGTAGCTCGACCAGATGCTACAACAAAGGCGTGTGAGGTGTTTCTTCCCCCTTTGTAAGCCTCTTAGTCCTGTAAGTCTGCCTGGCTGCCTGCAGCCGGCCCACAGGCCTGCCTCGGCTCTGATCACTGATCATTTAATCCCTCAGTGGAAAAGGTTTGCTCGTCTTTGGCTCTGACAGGTTTGTCACCCTGCCAGCCGCACAGAAACTTGGAAGACATGGACGAGCTCCTGTTACCGAGCGGCGAGGAGGAGGCGCGCTCCGAGCACAGTTCGTTCGCTCCGGGAGACGCAGAGAGGACGATGGGGGACCGAGTCAAGACCTTCTTCCAGGAGTCGGTGAAGGGGGACCTGAGGAGGACTGTGACAAACTTCTGCAAGAGGAACGGGCTGCTGACGCTGTCGGTCATTGCTGTGCTGACCGGCTGCACGCTGGGCTTCATGCTGAGAGGGACTCAGCTGTCCACGCAGGTACGACTCACCCAAATCTAACAGCTTTACAGTTAAATCTCAGCTTGCAGTTCACACTCTCCTTCATAGTCAGGTCAGAGCACAGCAGCCTTCTGCCCTTTGACAGCTCCTCTTGAAACTTTCCTTTAAGTAACAGGATTGATCATTTTACCCTCCTTGTTTACACTTTCCTTGGTCTGTATCCACCTGCTAGGATTGAACCTGCCAGCAGTTTGCAGCCCGTTGACATTTCCCTTTTATAATTTACTTTAAAGCATTTATTATTTAACCTCCTTGTTGACACTTTCCTTCATCAGTATCTCACCTGCCAGGACTTAATCTTTCAGCTCCAGTGTTGATGCTCCCTCATTCATCTCCCACTGATTGGTTCTCTCACATTTGTTTGCACCCATCGGGATGTGATGTTTAAGTCGTCATGCTTTTACTTTCCTGTTAAACTTTAATAGTGGGGCTGTACGGTGGCGCAGTTGGTTAGCACTGTTGCCTCGCAGCAACAAGAAGGTCGCTGGTTCGCGTCCCGGTGGAGTTTGCATGTTCACCCCATGCAGCGTAGGTTCTCTCCGGGTTCTCCGGCTTCCTCCCACAAAGTCCAAAAACATGTTGAGGTTAATTGGTGATTCTAAATTGTCTGTAGGTGTGAATGTGAGTGTGCTTGGTTGTCTGTCTATAAGTGTAGCCCTGCAGACCTGTCCAGGGTGCCCCCTGCCTTTGCCCTGGGATAGACTCCAGCCCCCCGCGACCCTAGTGAGGATTAAGCGGTGTATAGATAATGGATGGATGGACTTTAATGCTGATACTTCAGGACTTACCTGTGAGGACTAGTGACGAAGCTTTCCTTTAAATCTTACTCTTGGCTCTCTTACCTTTCAATTTGACGTCAGTACGCACCAGAAAGGATTCTACACGTCGACCTTTAATTACTCTGGTCGGTACTTGCCTTTCAGTTTCTTGTCTGGGGCTGTGTTCTTCTTTGAATTTCCCATCAAGCTCTTAAGTGTTTAACCCAAGTATCAGTCACTCACTTAATCCATTTAACATACAATTTCACTCATTTGAGAATAGATCACATTCATACACCAATGGCGACAGAGCTTCCGTGCAAGGTGGGAGCAACTTTTGGGTTGCCCAAGGACACTTCGGGCATCGAACCACCAACCTTGCTCTACGACCTGAGCCACAGCTGCCTGCTAGCATTTAGGAGGAGGAGCTGAAGAATAACTTACAGATTGGTCAAATATTGTGCAGGAAAAGGAAGTGGTAGCTAGAGCCCAACTTGGTTCACTTCACAAAGGAGAGAGCAGCCAGGTACAGTTTATTAACAAGATCCTCACAGTAGTTTGACACTGAAGAGGTTCAAAATGTATATTCGAGTAGAACCCGAAAAGATGGTGAACTATGCCTGGGCAGGGCGAAGCCAGGAGAAAACTGAAAACAGGTGGAGGCCCTCAGCAGTCCTGACGTGCAAATCGGTTGTCTGACCTGGGTATAGGGGCTAAATACTAGTCCAACCATCTACGAGCTGGTTCCCTCTGAAGTTTACATACATACAAACATTTACAAACATAAAAGAAGACGTACAGCCCATGTTTTTGTTAAAAATCTTTGACCTTCGGCTCCCACTGGTGCCAGAACCAGACGCAGTTGTTGATGGAGGAGCTTGAAGTGAACCAGCTGTTAGTCTCACACATTCTGGTTTACACATCGCATCCAGAACTCCATCATATCTCCAGTAGAATAACTGTTTTGTCTAAAACAACTGCTGTACACGACTAGAGCTGCTGCGGTTAGCTGGTAAAATGAATGATGCTGAAAAATTCACTGTGACAAGTATCATGTCAGATTATTTATGACACACGAAGAGATTATTGACTCATTTCATTGCACATTTGCAATGACAATAAAGAAATTCTACTCTGTTGATTTTCACTCCAGTCATTGGTCAGCTGCCGTCAGATCTGATGTGGTTCAGTATAAAGACAGAAGGCTTCCAATGATCACAGAACAAAGAGTGGGTTTGCACACAGCAGACCGCAGCATGTTTTATCTGTCCTGCTTTCTGTGCTCACATATACTCTACTTTAATATGAATTCCTAATAAAGCTGTTCTCATTTACATATTTTTCTCTTTTGAGAGTGAAACAGTGGCTGATGTGTAGCTCATTAGGAAGACTTGTTAATCACTTTTAAACTGCTGCTGCTCCACACCACTAAAATCCAGATTTGTAAACCCCAATACCGCTGGACAAAGTCACTATAAACATGATGAAGGCTGTGTTGTGAATTCAGCTGTATTTAATTTATAGCCACCACCAAAGTCAGAACAGTTGCACAGTAAGGAGAAAACCGTGCCCACCGTGTCCATGTTGTTAAAAGCTTCAATAGAAACATATATATCTTATGGAGTTGCACCACTGACGTAAATAATAAGCCATCGTTTCCGCTTTGCAGTTTTGCACTTTAATATGTAAACATCTGTGCTGCACAATACACTCATGTACAGTTTGTCAAAATAAAATGAACCTAAATGAAAAGGTCATTTTGTGTTTTTGGAGGAAAAACTAATTGTTCAGGTTAATCAGCTAATTTGTAAACTAGTTGACAGATTATTCAAAAGCGTGAATTAACTTTCTAAACAACAATTTCCAAGAAAATTTAAGAATCAGCTTTGTGAAATATCCCACCTCCAAGTTGCTCTTTCAAACCTCTGGTACAGGTGAGCTTATTTTTTAAAAAAGAGGATTGAAGTGATCTTAGACAAACACCTGTCAGTGTTTTTACAACAGCTAGTATTTAGAGGGAGCAACTAAGTGCTTTTACTAAAGTACAATACTTAAGCACATCTTTGAGGAGCTTGTACTTTCCTTGAGTATTCCCATTTCAGCTACTTTATTCCTTTCTTCTACTAACTGCATGTGATAACTGTAGTTGCTTTGCAGTTAGTTTAATGATACCAAATATCATCAGAAAAATTCCAATACAATATTATTAATCTAGGTTAAGATTATTGATCCCTGAGGAGAAATTTAGAAGCATCAGATATATAGCAGTACCATCAGCCTGCTGCTCACAGCCAGACTCTGGTCAGCAGCTTCGAAAGCATAGATGTGCATCTGTGCAGTATTTTGACTGTTCGTTAAAAATAGTTTGTCTGCAAAGCTGTCGTTCCAGGAATGATTGATCCCTCCGAGGCAGCAGACTAAATTCAGCCTGGACCACAGTCCTTCTTTTCTTTTCTTTCAGGCTCTTCAGCTATGAATAATCTGCAGTGTAACGCAGTACGCTTGGCCCCTTTCCTGATTCCCTGCTGGCCAGAATTCACTATAACGTTCTGTACCTGAATACGCTTATGTCATAAGCCACGGCAACGTTGTGCACCACAGTCAACTGATGCGCCTCCTACAGATAACTTTACTGTAGCGTCTACATCATGTTGCTGCTGCTTTTGTTTTGGATGCAGGAATGAGGGGGACACTCGAAACCCTTAGAACTGTCGTGAAAATTCCCTGGTGAAAAATGTCTACATGGTGGAAGACACATCGGCTGAGTGTTTCCACCGTGAAGCTGCGGTATATTGATGAAAGTTTCAACAGCACAGATTCAGACCTCCAGGGATTCATTTGAACTTAAGGAACAAATCCTGTCAACTTGCAGGGTGGAGCTTTCTCATTAATAATCATCTTCTGAATCGGTTTCTGGGTTGAACTTATATGGCTGCGTCACATAAATAGTACAACTTGCCACTGTGTAGTGTAGAGCAGTTTTACATAGTTTGAGAAGAGTCAAAGTTGAGCTGGTGTGCCCGAGCTGCAGCGAGGGGGAGAGATGGTTGGAGACAGTGGCAGGGACTTCATAGATCAGCACATTCTACAGGAATCAACAGTGTACAGGTACATGTAAGACATGTTAGAGCAAGATGGGATGATTTTCAGGGAGAACACTTGTAAATATGTAGTTTACATGCACAGAGGTGAGTTTCTGGAGCTTTATTCAATCACTGAAGAGGGACTTTGAATATTATTTAACTGTCTCTTTGTATTTTGAAACTGAACACAACAGGCCTGCTTCTTTATTTTGTCTGAGTAATTAAGGATTAGCTGATTTATTCATGTGTTGTTTTTTTCTGTTTTCTCGTACTTTCTACACAATAAGTGTCACATGTATTAATAATGGAAATCACTGTGCGTTAACTCTTCAAAGCACAAAAACTGACAGGATTTGTTAAAAATACAACTTAAAGACAAAAAAATGAAGTATTCAGATGTTAAAACCAGATTTTGTTTGTCTTCATTTACGATATTTGACACTGAATTTTAGTCAGAAAGCACATTTGTGACAAGTCAGATGATGCATAAGTGGGTTGTTATGAGAAATGGTTAATAAATAAATTTGATTAGAGACAAAATTGTGATATAATCTTATTCAACAAAAAATGTGCTGATATTTTTAGTATGTTTTAATTTAATTTGTGTCTCGTTACTGCTATACTTTGTGGCGTGAGCTGTGGCATTGATCAGATGTGTACACTGTTCAGTTTGTGGTATCTAAACTTATATCCATCCATTCATTCTCTACATACCGCTTTATCCTCCTCACGGGGGGCTGGAGCTTATCCCAGCCGACTCAGGGAGAAGGCAGGAGACACCCTGGACAGGTCGTCTAAACTTTCATAAGAAAGACAATGTTTTAAAAATGAATCACGTTATTTAGTTCACCCTCATTCTGGACACATTTCCACAGCTTTTATTCTAAAATTCGGAACTTTTCGTCTTGAAGACTCCAAAATACAAAATGTTAAATTATCAGCTGAGTCATATATATATTTTTTTTAAATTTACTGCTCAAAGCCTCATAGAGAAAACTCATGTTTAAAATGATTCATCACCATTATAATACGTTTTTGGCAAGTTCTGTTACCATGGCGACCCATTCCTTACAGCTTCATTTCATCCTCAGTCAGGCGCTGATTCATTAATCCTTTAATTCCTTTGTTTGTAATCAAACTGTTTGTTTACAATCCAGGGAGTCCGTCTGTCTGCACTGGTGAACTCCCGAATGCTGGTTTAGTTTTATCAAATGTGAAAAGCTGCAGAATTTATCCAACAGCTGTAACTCCTCTGACCATCAGCTGTCTGGTTTATGTTGAAGTGACTGTTTTTCTTTGTCATTTATCACTGCAGGCTAAAATCTACTTTTCTTTTCCTGGAGAGCTGCTGATGAGGATGCTGAAGATGCTCATCCTTCCTCTCATCACGTCCAGGTAGGTTTATGTGACAAAACACACCAGGAGGAGAAAATAATGAGATTATTAAAACAATACAGGCAGGAAAACATATTTTTTGGTTCAGGTTCTGTGGTGATCCAAAAGCATCTTAAACAATAGTTCCTGTTTTTTTTTTTAGCCTGCTGCATTTCCAATTAACGCGTCAGTTGCGGCTCTGTGAGTCATGCTAAATTTGCACTCTTGACCTTCATGTGATTAAACGGGAATAAATACAGCGACTCAGACAGACGGACTGAGGGAAGGGCGGAGTCAGGGAACATGCACTGTCGTAACGTCTAGTTAGTTCCCAAAAAAACAAACAATAGTAGCAATAAAGACAGATACAGAATGATAATTAGTCAGAAAAGTAGTAATAAAAATAATTTTAAAAGATAAATAAAAGGAAACATTTTTTAAAATGTAGTAAAATGAAAGCTTTTAAATTTCAAAAGAATAAAAAGAAGAACACTTTAAAAAATATGAATAAAAGAAAATATTTTTAAAATATAATATTAATAATAATAAAAATGCATGTTTGACAGTGAATGTGTAATAGACAAATGACGATGGTAATTATAAATCCTATGAAATGCCAAATATATTGTGTGTGTGTGTGTAATTAAAGAATGAAAGTAAACTAATAAGGTGTGAAGAAGTAAACTCCTAGAGATACGTACTTAAAGTACCAAATGTAGTGACGTAAAAAGTATTATATTTGCATCAGCACTGCAAGTAAGTGTCAGAAAATGGAAATACTTAAGTACAAGTAACTTGAA